GAAAATTGAGATAATTAAATCTAAAAATACTCCATCCAAATAAATAGACATACTAACATGTGTAGGAAAATCCCAAATGTTAACCCGAATATTTTGATCTTCAGTGACACAGCACTTCCTAAGAATCTAAAAATTTTTATTATGGATTAATGTAGTCCCTATGCTTCGAGTAATTAAGCGCTGTTGGTATTTGAAAACATTTTCCATTATTAAAGTGCCAATGAACTAGAAAGTTCATATTTATTTTTGCTTTTAATAAACATAATGGTGCTTTAAAATCGCTTAGTCAACTTAGCAGAGTTTCCATTTTATGGGCAGAACAAAATTAACAGAAAAGTCTAAAATTAACAGCGATACATATTTACCGAACTTTCAGTAGCAAATAAAAGTAGCGAAAATTTCAATTGCAGCTTTATTGACGCTTTATTTCACATAAAAAAGTATAACTTCTACTTTTCATTAAGCACACACTGTACTTATTCTAACAATTTGTTAAAATTGTCACAATAATACCGCACTCAGATTCTTTTTTAATTAATTAATCCATTCAATTTCTAATGCGTTGCATGCACTTATTTAATACGACTCAAGACTAGGAAATAAATATTAAATCGGCGTGTTTTTATGTAGCAAAACCATTACATTTATCTGTAAGGCTACAGATGTGAAGGCAATTTTTATATTAACTGTCTAGTGTTTCCTGCGATCACAATGCTTCTCTTAAATTCGCCTGGAATCAACGTCCTTTCTTTTGTACGTTTTACCGGGTTTAAATAAGGAACTGTTTAAATGTTCTGAATTTTCCCACACATGAGGATCTAGATTATTATGTACTTAGATGTTCCTAAAATATTTATATATTTACAATTTTTGTTGGAAAACGCTCTTACAGCTTTTGACCCGAAATAGTGTAAAATCGTTGGCTTATTTTAAACGGATTTTAAGCCTTCACGATCTTTGTCCCTCTTATTAGAATAATTGAAAGATGGTTGATTTTCTTGGAAATTTGGTCTGGGCAGTGGTGAAAAAGAAAAAGAAAAACCTTTTTTAAAATATTTTAGCAATTATTTGAAATTAGTCGCATTTTAATGAAAATTGAACTTTAACTTGCTTGTTTTTTCTTATTTCTAAAATTTTGAATATTATAAGAAGATCCAAATGGAATCAATTTAAGTTTGATAATTTATCAATGTTGGAAAAGTAAGCAAAATGAAATTGAATTAAATGCAATTACCTGGATTTAAACATAATATGTATTTTTTCCTCAATATAGTCATGAAGTAGTAATTAATTTTTGCAATTTTGCCAGTTATTTCAATTTACCTGCTAATCATAGCCAATCAAT